TGCATTAAGAAGAGTGTCTCCAGCAGGTCGAGGGAGGTGATCCTGCCCCTCTACTCAGCCCTGGTGAGGCCGCATCTGGAGTACTGTGTCCAGTTCTGGGCTCCACAGTACAAGAGGGATGTGGAGCTGCTGGAGAGAGTCCAGCGCAGGGCTACCAGGATGCTCAGGGGCCTGGAACATCTGCCCTATGGGGAGAGGCTGAGGGAGCTGGGCCTGTTCAGCCTAGGGAAGAGAAGGCTGAGAGGGGATCTAATCAGTGTCTATAAGTACCTCAAGGGAGGGAGTGCAGAGGACGGTGATGGTCTCTTTTCAGTGGTGGCCACTGATAGGACTAGAGGAAATGGCCGGAAACTGAAACACCAAAAATTCCATAGGAACTTAAGGAAAAATTTCTTAACAGTGAGGGTGACAGAGCACTGGAACAGGCTGCCCAGAGAGGTTGTGGAGTCTCCTTCTCTGGAGCTCTTCAAAACCCGCTTGGATGCAGTCCTGTGCCACGTGCTCTAGGTGTCCCTGCGTGTGCAGGGGGGTTGAACTAGATGATCTCTAGAGGTCCCTTCCAACCCTAAGCATTCTATGATTCTATACTGTGGGCAACATACCCTTAGAGGGTAAGCAAGCCATATCTGACTTGCTTGAAGTATTCTTGTAACCTACAGCAGATAATCAAACTGAGTATAATCAAATATTTTATCTTCTAAGGCATTTTATAATGTGGTTTCAACAACAACAAGCCCCAAGTCCTAAACCCTTTCAATTTCACCAATATAGCATGTGTCATCCAAGGAGACCCAGAATATAAAATCAAAAAGGAAGACTCCCTATATCCTCATTCATCTGAATGAGGTACCAAGCTGACAAGATCATATGAAAAGATATGCTGAAGAGTCTCAAATTTGGATGCTAAAAAATATCTGTGATTTGTTTTCAGCAAAGAGAGGCTGACAAAAGACAGTCGGGAATACTGAAGAGCCAAAAGATACACTAATAACCAAGCTATTCAGGGCTTGACACAGCTCTAAATACACAGACTGAACATGACAGCAGGCTCCCTGGCACACTGGAGTACAATGCAGAAGGAACTGGGAGTTCCTGCTACTTGTTCCTCATTGCTTTTTTTGTTGTTGTTTTTTTTTGTTTGTTTGTTTGTTTTCTCCCCCTTTTTTTTTTTCCTCCTACATCCATCCTTTATTTTGTAACAAAGCAAAGGAAAAAAGCTGCAGGATCAAGCATGTACTTCCTAGAGGTAAAGCAGAGCCTCTTCCTTTAAACCACAATAAACTGAACAAACTTGCTCTTAGGCAGCAGAGCATAGGACAGAGCATGTCCTCACAGGACATGCAGAACAGCATAAAGGAAAATAACACCACACTCTTTTGCTATTAATGCACACAAAAGTGATTAAAATCAGTCTACCTCGAAGTTCAGTCAGAATTTCAATTTTTTGCTCTAGAATTGCTTCAAGTTGGGTAGCATAAGAATCCACATCATAGTCTACTTCTTCTGTCATCTCAAGAAGAGCTTTTTCATCTTCCAGCCATCTAATAGATTCCTAGATAAAAGTTAAAGAAAAAATAAATACATTGACAAAGGTATGAATTTCAAAACAAACAGCTGAATTACTCCTTTTTCAAAGACGACCACACTTTTATTGTCTAGTCACTACACTGTAACAGAAAAGGTGGGAAAAGGGGGAAAGAAAGGAGGCGGGGAAGGTCTTGCAGCAAATAAGAATACAAGCAGGAGCTTAAAAAGCTTAAAGACTAATGCAAAGCTATGCATGCAGGAGAACTGATTCTGTTAGAAATGCCTTGATTTAGAAAGAGAAAGCAGCTGACAGTTCTATGAATGCTGGATCTGAAATACTAAAATTAATTCCTTCCCTCTGTGCTCGGCAGCTTAAGTAATACTACAAGCAAACCCTATGTATATTTTTTTGGCATTCAGGACAGGTGGAGTTCACATTGGTGGCATAGTATTTATCTCATCTAATGTAAATATATACATCTAAGAATTAATGAAAGGCAAGCATCTCTAGAACACTACTTTTAAGACATTTTTGTCACATTAAGAACTGTCTGGTACAGCTTAGAGACTGTGTATTGGTGCAGCCCACCTTCACCCATGGTATAAACCAACAAGCCATGCTGTGAACGAAGGGAGGTGAGCCTTGGACATGTTTCCTGCTGCTGACTGCTGTGGAGAGCTGCAGTCTCCAGCAGAAGGCCAGATGGACACAGACAAGCAGTAACGTGAGACCCATGTAGCTTGTCTCCCAAATTTGTAAGCATTAGGACACGGCTACAGCATATGGCATATGACTTTCACACTGTTGCACATTTTACCTCAGAGCTAGTGATTTTTAACTACTAAATTTCTACATCTGTTCTAAAATGTGTTATTTTTAGATGCCTTAAGTTAGATGTTAGTTAGTTAGATGCCTTAGGTTAGATGTTAGTTAGATGCCTTAATTGAGGAGATGTGTGTATTCCCTACAGAAGGTTTAATGTTCTGCTGTTCACTTGCCGCAGACATGCCAAATGGACAGCCCACCTTAGGGCTCTAAGGCTAAACATAGAAGCACCTTGCATTCACTTCTGGAGATAATTAATTCATACTTATTTTTATTACAACTTACTCTGCGAATGTAAAAGGATTCAAAGCACTAACCAGCATTGCCCTGTGTTGCCAGTACTCCTTCCAAAGACCCTGACTAGTGGCAAGAGGAAACCTTTACTTCTACCTCTACAGAGCAAGTGAACAGACAGTTAGAAATACTTCCGTCTCTTCTAGGGAAACTTTGTATCCCAGAGGGAGATAATCGTACTCTCAACAGAAATGGTGCTAATGGAAACATTTCTGTTAACTGCCCGCTTCAGCAAAGGAATATTGTCACAGATTAGACAGGGAAATTGGAAATGCAAGTCTACTCTGAGAAAGCTCCTTGCAATTACAAAATACGGTCATTAATGCTTGAAAATGACTAAAAGAGAATATATCTCAGTGTTAAAGGAAAAAGTAGGAGCTTTTCTTATGCTATCTTATCCATTTAGAACGTTTATGAAAAGAAAAGGAAAATTTTAGTAGATCTTTGTTGGTGATGAGAGACATATTTTTCTGTCATTCCAGAGAGTGGTGTTTATGGCTCTAAACTGTTTTCTTGTTTGATACAGTGAGCTCAGTGTAATAAAACAATTTAGAAATCTCTGTTTGACTGCAGTAGAATTACCAGATGTTATCCTGTATCTTGAGAATATGTACTTTTTTTTTGGAGAATCCTAAATTCCTGGGTTAACATAAAACAATGCAGAGTTCCATCTTTTACCTGAAAGACAGCCCTGTGATCTTCAACAACTTGTTCCTCCATTTCTACCATCTGTGAAACAGCTTCATGGAAAGTAAACAACTGTGGAGAAACTTCCTCTTCCTAAAAACAATAGTTAAGTTTGTTACACTGGAAAGAACTTGACTAAAGGAAATATACTGAACATGTTGCATTCCATCACAGAATATGAAAAGAAATACATGGAAGGTAGAATTTGTCAGAGATGGACTTAGAAGTTTATATTTCTGATATGAAAATCTTCAAAAATTAAGGGAGAGGGGAATAACATCAAAATGCTAACAAAGTTTAAATTAATTTATATTCATTAAAATTTTCCAGTCATACATCCTAGTGAATACTGAAAAACTGGGAATTCTACATAAAGAAAACAAGTCAAAATAGTGGAAGATGGAAGTCACAAGAGGAGAACAGTCATTTCTAGTAGGTTTTAGCAGCTACAGAAAACTTGTTTGCTGTCAGGGCCCTTTTTTTATGCACAGCAAAATAGACAACATTTTTTTGAGAACAAAGAATTGCATTCAATACATTTCATGGTATCAAAATGCACTTTGTCTGTTGGAAAAGAAGTATAATAAATGTAAAGGGAAAAATTTTTAAAAAAGTAGCTGTTAATATATGAGAAGAATGCAAACTATGGTATTATATACTGTGGCAACACATAGGACTTTTTCTTTAGACATGAATAGTTAACAATCGAAGGGGAAAGCAGACAGTTTGCTGGAATTAAAGTTTTAGCAAGACAGCATGGTTCTTTATAGCATGGCTTTGACTTTTTAAAAAATATACCACACAGCTTAATCAAATTCTACTTGAACAAGGAAAAAGTATGGTATGAAAGGATATTTAGGTGGAAGAATTGTCCAATAGGAAGCCCTAAGAATCACACAGAATATTCTTAGAAAATAGAGCCCTAGAAGAACTAGATACTAAAATGAGAAACTCCATGGAGAGGTACTTGAGAAAGCAGAGAGGAAATAAGGTAGAATAGTAAAGATTTTTCTTTTTTTAATCTTTGAGCAGAATTTCCACAAACTGGGTTTTAATTCTTGTTGAACATTAAAAGAATAATAACTAGAGCTAACAATCATCTGCATGTGAAAAACAGCCTTCAGAGGATGCCTCTCAGTCCCAGTCCCCCACTCATCCCCCAGGAAGACATTTTGGGAACGTTTGTGGCTCTTTTTCAGCCAGTGGTCTGGGGTTTCACTTCAATGAAAATCAGGATGTGGGGAAAGAAAAATGATGTATAGTTGCATTTCTAAATGCAGAGAAAGGCAAATTGACTTGAAATGAGTGTTACATGCATGGAAAATAATGTTCAAAAACACTTGAGTATTAAATAAAGTGGATGGGCTTCCCAGCATACTTCTAACTTCTCTAATAAGCAATGAAGCTATACTGGAAAAATGCAAACAAAACAATGTTCAAGCCTAGAGCAGACACTGTGTAGATGTTAGAAGTCCTAATCAGCAGAGAAGAAAGGTGTAAAACATTTTTCTCTCACCCACCAAGAAAATAGATTTTTCTGTATGGGAATAAATACCATAACATGAAAAGGTGAAGTGTCATGCTGTACTTATTAATGATATTGCTAATGGGCTATAAATAGACATTATTCTGGTGCGGTTCTAACACTATATTTATAATCACCTCTTTATATGCGATTCTGTAAACTACTCACATTTTGTTCACAAAGCAATTTGAGATCATCCCTCTGAGGAGAGCTCCCTACACCCCACTGCGTCTCTAGGTCATCGATCTGATTTGGAGCATGGTGTATAATTGGACGGCTATCTCCTGCAGCACTAGGATCAACCGTCAGTTCCTTCACTCTACAATCAGAAAATATTTCATTTTTAAATTAGTAACTTCCTACACAAAATAGTCACAATGAAAAAACAAAGCTCTTTGGATTTATATGCTATTATTTACTTCATTTTCTAAAGGATGATGATGTCAGCTTCATAAGTTTAATGTACTTCAATGCCAAAAAAGGCTCCTAAAAAGCACAGGCCATTGAATTTCAGCTATTACAGGTGAATTAAACCAAAAGGCAATTTTTGGTTAAAATCTTACTAGTTATGAACAAGTAAGAAGGGAAAAATCCCCAAATCTTCAGTGTTAATAACTCTTTAACAAGCAAAGAATATCTGAAAATTGTAAGGACAAGGTCATATACTCAGCACCCTAAAGATCTGACCACCTTTCTTTTTCTGTGCAGACAGTTTTGCTTTAAAGAAAAAAAATCAGTACCTCAGCTAGCTATCATAAGCAAAGCCCCCAAGGATTCTGAAGAAAATAATAACTTTCAAGCAAGTACCCCAGAGAATGAATCCATCTTTTAATTAAAGTTAATTTAATTCAAATAATAATCTCAAAGCTAAAATATCTTATTAAAATGTTAGACTCTTGCAGAATGAAAATAATTTAAGAGAGTGATAATCTGATTCAGGAAAAAAATTCATTTAAAAATGAGTTTACAAAGCAGACTATCAAAGTCTGAATTTATAGCAAGTATTAAAACAAACTCTTCATATCTAAAGGGAAATCAAGTTTTTTAAAGTAACATTTTTTACCAAAATGGAAGCTGTATTTCATTAATCTCCAGAAGATGAAATGTTTCCAAAGTATGTATGTATCAAAATTCCTTATATTTTTAATTAGGTAGCAAAAAAAGACATATGAATATTATTCAAAACACAGACTTGTCACAAATTTGGTCCACTAAATGTATAAAGGTGACATCGCCATTTCTTTAATGTATGAAGGAAAATAGTGAGCCTGGATAATGTTTAAGGAAGATGAACAAAAAAATGGGAAGATGATTAGAGATCATGCAGAACCATCACCTGCCAAACAAAATAAAAAGTATGTGTGATTTAGGCAAGGGGACTAATGAAAGGTTGGTCTGTAAAATTAGATAGCCAAACAGAAAACTTAAAAATAAAGATTCCATGTGTAGAATGAAGTAGACCTGGTGATTGAAGGAGAAAAGTCGTCATACTCATAAGAAGGAGAGAGATCAGAGCGACTGCCACTACCCTGTGAGAAGGGAATGTCCGAAGGACTAATTCCAAATTCCTTTACTCTGCAGCAGCAAAATACAGCAGCAAATTAAAATAAAATGTTCTCACAAAGACAGTTAAAATGACAACTCTTTTCTTAGTATTTGTCTTTAATAGTATAGCAAGAAAATAAATTATTTTAAAATTTAAACGTAAGTAAACATATTACATATAAACATAAGTCAGCATATCTAAACCTGCAAAAATGAGTCATATATATATCACTAACAAAATTTAACAAAACCAGTGATGCTTTTTTCAGGAAAGTATAATAGAAATGTTTTCAGAGGATTAATTCCAGATTTCACTTAGTTTAATTAATATAATTTGGTATACATTCAACATTCTACTAAATTGCTCCTTTCATAACATCAAACCATTACAACTGTAATAGTTTGAATTATATACTGCCCGTTATCTTACACACACATGCCAATACTCAGAACCTAAAAAAAAAAAAAAAAATCACTCTTTGTTAAAAAAAAAAATATATTGATAGAAAAAGTTAAAATACTAAACAAAATACATGAGGTAACTTTACAGTGATAGACATCTACTATATAAAAACATCAAGGGTAAGAAACCAAGGGTTCAACATATATAGTATACTAGAGATAGGTTTTTAGTTTTTTGGAAGTGGCCCACAATACTGCCTACATGTCAGAAAAACATCTTTTGCATTAGACCGACTACCCCCTTGTAAAAAATGTACAGGGTCTTTTGCTGGAATCACTTTTGCAGCTCTTACTCTGTAAGAAGTAGAAAAGTCCAGCCACCGTGACCAAGGTGAATTTTCCTTCCTTATGTTACCTAGATGCCCCATACTTATAAGGATGGAAGTCACATAGAGCAGTCCAAATTGGACAGATTTGCTATTAGCTCCCTTGATGCAGACACAAGCACACTCAGCCTCTTGGAGGAAGCCTACTGTAAACCTTCCTATCTAGCAGTCCTTTTTGTCCAATTAGTGTCTAGCTGGAGGTCCCCAGACAAGCAGCAGCAGACGGAGATCAGTCTCTATAATTTCTACTAGGTGGTGGCATTTTCTGGGGAAAAAAAAAAATTCCAAACCAGAATTTCCAGTGGCTAAGGCGTTTGTTTTCCTCCTTTGTTCTCTGCAGCAAAGGAGGGGGGAAATCTCTGGGTTTTGCTGTAAAACCCTGGGCAGTTCTGATTGCAGGCACACAGGGGACGTGGCCACCCCATCGCCGCAGGCACAAGCTGTCAGAATTCCAGCTGGGGAAGCTCCTTTTACAGTCGCAATGGGGAGAGGTCAGCACTTACAGAGAGCAGTACAAATCTCAGAGGTGATCCATCAGCCTCTGGAGCTGCTGGCTTCTCTACATTGGCTACAAAGCCACTGTTTGATTAACTGACTCCTCACTTAGGTACATTGGATATTTGAACTTACGATGCATAAAATTTGAGCCACAGCAATTGCAGAGTTTGACAAGAATATTTGGTATATAAATAAACTTCATGTTGCACTTGGTCAACACATATTTTTGATAAATGCACTTGGTATATATAAAACAGTTTGGCAACTCCATGCAATTCTACGGGGGTGATCATGATCATGAATACTAACTACCTCTAATGTAAGAGCTGATGTCTCCAGAGGAGGGGAAAAACTAATAAGCGCATTTTCCATATTCCCTGCCCTCCACACTATATCCATCTGTAGATAATGGCTTAAATGGAGTTTCTATTGATTCTGTTGTAATGATTGTAAAAAGTTACAAATTAAATTAAATATGTGCCCCAATGAGTCTTCTGATCTCAATTTTATTACGAAACGCCAGTATACTAAAGTTATTGAAGTAGCTAAAACAATCATGGAGCAACAGTATTCCAAATTTCAGTGATCGACACCTAGTATAACTATAGACAATAGTATTTTCCATACCTATTTGCGTATCTCAATGTATTTAGGGTGTTTTCACATGATGCCATTCCTGGAGAAATTGTAGCAATCTGGAGAAAACAAACTGCAAGTTAATAAATCATTTTGTAGAGATGGAAGGGTAGATCAATTCAAATTAAATTTATTTTTGATCTCCAGTCTCGTATGAGATCTACAAAAAAAATTGTTCACTACATACAGATGTTCTAATAATGACATCTCAAGAAGAGAAACTTCAAGTCAAAGCTTCAGTTTAATTTTTTTTTAACCATATCCAAAGCATTAAGAATTCAAGAAAATTTCAGTTAATTTCCCCCATCTGACAGTCTTGGTAACACAGCATGCAAATGCAAAACCCTCACTGAAAAATAAGACCCCTCAAAAAGGAAAACATGCAACTCAGTAAAAAACAATTCTAATGGATCCCAGAAACAATTACCAGATTTTTTTTTTAGACTTTTGAAAGCTGTTCTCCATTCAAGCATACTTCATGCTGATTGAAGAGATCTACATTGGCCACAGTCCAGAACAATACTTATTAACATTAAAGTACACGTTTAAGTAATTTCCCTGAATAAAGGATTTTTTTTTCCTGAATTTGAAAGCATCTGTAAATACTTGACAGGTAACTAAGGATCAGACATATCTGGAGTCTATCAGTCTTTCCTTTTCCAGTGAAATAAAATACCCTAAAGATCTCTCTTTTCAGCACTTAACAAAAACAACAATGTGATCAGGCAACATTGGCATTATTATTTGTCCTAGCTGCTCTCAGTAGTCCAGTTCTTTCCATCTGTGCCCCTTTCAGAAGAGCCATAAAGGTACTGTCCAGAACAACCACCCCTATGATCCTGTTCACTAAGATTTTTTTTTTTTCCTGACAGCACAGCATCAGGAGACTGAAACTGATGGAGTTTAGATAATCCTGGTCTTTTCTTTCATCCTGCTCCTGACATTACTGTACAAGGGCAGAGGTAATCATCCTGAGAGGAATTTCTCCTACTGGGGAGGAAGGAAAAATACAGGGTGGGAGGGGGTTAGAAAATCTAAAGTATCTGCTTTATACACTAAGTTTCAACCCCTAATACTGGTACTCACCAGTTACTAAAGAAAAAAAGAAGAAATGTAGGTTTAAAATGATCATATGACTACATGTTTCTTTATTAAGGTTCCCAAAATTCTTCCAGAGTCACTGTTATGTGAAACGTGCATCTTGTGCAACTCTTGATTCCGTTTAATGTTCAAAGTAGATGACATTTGGCAACTGTCAGAATATCAGGGCCAGAAGGAGGTTACAACTTCTTCAGGTGTATAAGGAACAAAGTGACACTGAACGTGGGGTCTGCCATGCGGATAGCTCCTCGAGGGAGGGCACCCTGTGCACAGGACTCAGTCTGTTGAACAGACAGAAAGGACAGGAGGCCTCCAGGCTCCCCTTGCTTCATATCCCCATTCATAGTTCCAGATGAGAAGGGTGGAGAGATCAGCACCATCTATGCTCAAGAGGATCTTTAAGACCAATACTTACTATATTGGCCAATTTGAATGTTGAATCTATATTGTATTGCTTATTAGCCAAAGCGGGAATGATGTCCCCTTTGGGACACCTAAGTCTCCAATGTCCTCCAAGCCTGAAGTCCTTCAAGCCTGGAAGACTGAGGGGGTCTGGACAACTGCAGCAAGTCAATGGCATGGTACTGTTTAAAAAAAATAAAACTATTCTATGTAGTTACCTTGCAGATTTCAGCTGATGATACATTACTGAAAAAAGGATGCAATTCATACTACAGCACATTTCCAAATTTCACAAAGAAGTTACAACTATTTAAAGACAATGGAAATAGTCTTTGAACTATTTAAGGACAAGAGCTTTAGTGAAATTACAACAACTAAGAAAATCCAAACCAACGTATTTAAGTACATCTCTTGGAAACAAACATATATTGTAAAGGGATGCTCGATTTTCCCTCTGATAGAGGGCTACTGGATCTTAAAAGGGATCACATTTTGATGAATTATCTTACATGTTCAATAAATAATATTCTCTAATCAAGTAATTTTTCTGTACTGTAATCTCTTTAATTAATGTTGCCTGTAACAGGCTAAAATATTTGGAGCAAACACAACCACTATCTGTATGCTACCTTGTAGCAGTTATAACAGTATTGTACCTGTAAAAATTCTTCTATACTGTAATTTTCCCTGTAAAGTAGATACTATTCTGAGAATATAGCAGTGATCTGTAAGAAAACTCCTCATTATTAAGCTAGTTTGCATTTTTAGAAGCTCCTAATACTATAATTAATTAAATGACTCTGCTGCAAACAAGCAATCAGCATACCTGCTGGATAAATACTCTTTAATTCAATAAAATACTATAACTTTTTGCCAGCATATTATACAAATATATATAAATATTATACAAACACACCTAAACACCAGTCACGCCATGACAAACCGCAAATACTGCAATGGAAGGATAAATAAATTATCTGGATAAAAGGGGCCAAAGGAAGAAACAGAAGATGGATGAAGCTCCTAGTAATGATGAGGATCCACTATTCCCCACACATGACCACTGGAGGGGAGAAATCCTGGCCCCCTTCCAGGGAACCAGAGAAGATTGGAGATGATTCTCCTCCAAGGCCTCTCCTACCTTTCCCTCAGTCCAACATATGCTCAGAAACCTCTAGACAGTGAGCTTCTTTCTCCATCTGTATTGCAGGAAAAAACAAGAGGCCGCAAAAGGGAGAGCTCAATTTATCGTAAAAATGTACACTGGGTTTCTTTTCTTTCCTTCACTCCTTTTCTTTCCATCCTTTCCTTCTTCCTGACTTTCAACCATAATTCAGCATAAAATGTAATCAACCAAGTAGTTTTTCCCAAATCAGTACCTTGAGGAAGAAACTTCACTAAGAACACTCTTGATAAAGATTGAATTTACACATTAAAAGCAGAACACCACAAATGGTCCTATTTTCACAAAACTCCATTGAAAAATAATAGGAAGAAAAGTAATGCCTCAAAATGAAATGATTTTCTTAACTATAAAGTGATTACAGGGTGAGAAAATTAAAAATAATTCAATTCTATTTCCACTCACTTTCAGAAGCATTTTTTCCCCTGTGATTCAGTACTACATTGAATACACTATTCAGGAAAATAAGCTTTATTTGGAACTAAACACCAGGAGAACTGACCACAGATTATTCTTGATGACTCTCTTAATGCATTTAAGCAGGACAAATGTTATGACAACTAAGAGGAGTAATAATTAAATAAAATAAAAAAGCTTCACTAAAACAGAGACATTTTGTTAGAAGGGGTAATGGTGAGAACTTGTAAATCATTCTCAAGTGTTGATACTTGTATATACAGAGAGTATTTCCAGAAAGGCTAACTGTCCATATCCTTTTCAGTAGTGCAGATACATGCGTAGTTTAGCTTTCTGATCCAGTATAGCATTTGTAGAGCCTTCTCACAATGGAAAGAAAACAATCCTATATTTTCATGTGAAAACTGAAGGACCACCATCCACAGTACTGACAGAGAATAAAAGATGAATAAAAAAAATGCTATTTTACCACCACTTTCAAACTAGGACTATACTTAATAGCTAAATAGAAGATTAGGCTGTCCTAACTCAGTGGTTTTCAAGCTATGGTCTGCAAATATCTGTGGCTCCTAGACTAATTCCAAGAAATCTGTAAAAGGTAACAAATGCAAACAGTCCAACAGTTGCTGTCCACCACAGAGTTTGCACTTCCATAAGAAGTAATATTAAGAATGTACAAATAAAGCCACTTGAAAGCGAGTGTTTTTTATCTGTCCTTTCGACCACCTGAGAGAATTTTGCTTTTCATACTGATGCAAATACACATATATACAACTATTCATCCCATCTGTTCCAACTACTCCCTGCCTCAACAGCCTTTAGCATATCCTGATGCCTTTGATGCCAACTCTAAATTTGCCTGTCATTTAAGGACTGTACTCTCACCAGCATACATCCAGTTTACTCAGCCTTTCCCAAATTTCAGCTGAAAACTCTAATAAAATTAGGACATCTTTCAAAACAAACAAACAAACAAAAAAACCTCCAAAAAACAACACAGACTTACCATACAGGTACGGGAGTTCTCTCCTATGAATGAATCTCTTAGCACCTGAGTAAGTTTACTTGCTCTGAATGGTGTGTGAGCTTTATTTCGGCCTAAGGCTCTAATGCACTCCTGAAAGAACAAATAAGTTCGTGGTTATTCACCTCATCACAAAGGAAAACATAAATACTACAGATGCAACTTGAATTCATAAAATACAAACTCTGGATGTACAAATTTACCACTAAAGCTTGGATTCAGGAAGTGTTAGGCTTTTCTCTCTCGTTATGTTTGGTGGAAAACTAGGAACCCATACATAACTTAGTACACCAAAAATTTTCTAAATCTCAGCCAAAATGTTTACGCTTATTATATCTAACAAACCACAAGAAAAAAAAAATCAGTGCTGATGGTAAATCTGCAGACCAACAATAATTTCTGATTATCAGCTGCAAAAGCCTGAATGGTGTACAGCCTCCACCAACAGAAGAGGAGGAGTCACTGAGATGTATTAACACTATCAATTAAAAGCAGTAGCTTTGATTCCTGGCTCTACCACTGGCTTTCTTTACAGCTCAGAAGGAAACACTGGTGCATAAACTTTCTGAATGCTTCCCTAATCCACAAAAATAGTTAGTGTAGCTCCATATTCATACACTCAAAGTAAAAATACACCTGAAAACATAAGTCATTCCATGTTTCAAGATACTGGTAAAGTTAAAAATTTGAAATAATGCATCCTCTTCCACTCACAACTAGAGTATGAGGCTAAACTAATATTTGCAATTGGTTGCAGAGTTCCGGTGAGAAATACTGCACAGAAGTAAATATTACACAATTACTATAGAACAGCTAAGTACAACAGTATAAAGCAAGATTATATTAATTTAAACATCGCATTTTTTAGTTGGCTTTAGATCTAGTACCAATGGGCAAAATAAATTACTTTTACACACAAAAAGGGTTTAAAATGAAATTTCTATTTTGTTGTTGTCATTACTGTCATATTTTGGTCATTAATTCTTGTTCCTGGCTTTGCCTTAATACTTTTTATCCACACATCTCTTCCTATTTATGGTTTCCTTGGTACAGTTTCAACAGAAGTCTACATACAGAGTGTCTTTGAACTTTTTACAGCTGTACATCAAGGGCTGTTGAAATTAGCTCTGATTTTAGGAGGACTCATGGATGGAACGCTTTAGTGCTACACATATAGTTCTAAAACAGTTCAGCTACTCCTTCAATTGCAAATGTATCCTTGTGGCTTTTTGAAATTCCCTAGAAACAGCTTCTTGCAAAAGCCAGGCTAGAAACTGCAGACTGATAATCCAAGAAAAGCACTGCAACTGTGAAACAGCATAAAACAGAACTAAAAAGGGCGCAGAGTGAAAATGCAATGATACAGAATAGAACAAACAAGGGCAAGTAGGCTTAAACTCACAGACTCACAGAATGGTTGAGGTTGGAAGGGACCTCTGGAGATCATCTAGTCCAACCCCCTGCTCCAGCAGGGACACCCAGAGCACGTGGCACAGGGTGGCGTCCAGGCGGGTTTTGCTAAAGTGATTATTTAGAAACTCCCTAGCTGAATTTTATAGAACAGACAGAGCTCAGAAACTGAAATACTGAAACTTCTTGAATGTGAATTTCAAATGCAAACACTAAAAGGAACTCAGTACTTATAGGTGAGCAAGGCAGTGCATTCCTTGAATTTTTTTCATTCATTTGTGTGTCACTACTATACTTAAGGAGAAAAGCAGATTAGACAGGAAAGGGACAACATATTTTCAACAAGTGATATCACAAACTAAAATCAGTAACAAATATACATGTTTAATTTTTGATACTGCAACCAACAAATTGAAATATTTTAATTTACTGTAATGATTTTAGCTTGCTCACTTCTGAAAAATTGAAATTGTATTCTTTGCTTAAGAGTATGAGGATTATAGGAGGGCACTCTCAGCTTTCAGATCAATGGAGTTTTAACTATTTTTGCTTTTCATCACAACTCAGAAAACCAGGTAGCAAAATGACAACACTACTTCCATGTAGAGACATTACAGAATTAACTTCTTATTCCAAAAATATGAACAGGTTAAAACATTCAACATAGACACTGATATTAACATGACAATAGCAAATCTTGTGTTAGCACCAAAGACCACTCTTCAGAACAAACTAGCTCATTTTGAACTTGATGATTAATATCTTCAAGGGTCTTAACTACCAATGGAGAAGCTGTATAATGTATTTGGGAATAAATGAGAAATGGAGAATTAAGATTTCATTAAGAAAGAGATATGTGTTATTTTACTGCTGTTTAGACCTCTAAAAGACCTCGACTTATTTCCCCTTCCCCACATAATTATGCAGCAGAACTTTTTACTATTACTACGAAGATAAGTTACATGAAAATTAACTAAATATGTTGTATGAGTACTGTACCAAAGGCACCAGGCAGTACAAAAGCTGCAAGTAAACTAACAAAGCAAAACCAAAATAGTTTTATTCCATCGCATTTGAAATAAGCAACAGGGACAACAAAACATTACCTGCATGATTTATTTTGATGGTAAATCAAAACAAACTGTAATTTTGTAATTACTGCTACCAATTTTTCAACATGTCATAGAATTCTGTAATGACACATAACAATTTTATGGTGTTTTGTGAGATCTAGTTATAGGTAGATACAAGTCTTCTCCCAAGTTTATATTGGGTATAAAAGAATAGGCTCAATGATTTGGGGTTTAGATTGTTTATATAAGATCAAAATGCTGATGCAGAGAGAAGTTAACCTAAGTAAACCTCCAGCAATAACAGAGAGAAATTTTGGGACATTCAAAATTACTCTTTCTCCAACTGAGACTGAAAAAAAATGACTTGCCTTATTTAGACTGGATCACTTTAGAACTTTATAAAACACAGGACAAAAAATATTTGAAAATTTAAATAATTTTTGTTAACTTCCTCGTGTTCTGGATTAACACATGTAAATCTGTAAAGCAGTTGAGATGATTTGCTATACACAGTAGCCAAAAATGGATTCCACTTTCAAGAGTTATTTTAGTGTATTTGTTCTTTCTATCGTTGTGTTGTTTTCTCTTGTAGTGAATTATTTAGAAAACATTGTTTGACAGTGGTAAATAAACATGCTCTAAAAGTAAATTTTATTTCAATCTGTTCTAAAAACCCTAGTATACTAAGATCAATAAGAATATTTCCAATTAGCATCTCAGACCTTCAGTAACAAAGTAAGCTATTGCTTCTCCCATTACAGGTGTATATTAGAAAAGACTTCATATCAATTAGTGTGCTATCACTTCTCCCATTACAGGTGTATATTAGAAAAGACTTCACATCAGTCACTGTGCGTGCGTGTTTGCGTGTGTGTGTGTTTGTATGTGTTTTTAAGCTACATGAAAGCTGACACACACTGTTTCTGCAATGTTTCTACTAGGTAATTACCAAGCATACTTTCAGGCATTTAGAGGAAAATCAATACATTATTTTACCTGTCACACAAGTAGTCAATGTAGACAAGCAAAACCTGTGAGAACACCCATTTTAATAGTCACCGCTATTATACAAAGAAGGCTTCCACCTACTCAGATACAATCAAAACATTTCAGTTACCTTGAGTGCTAAAAGGCTCTTGTTTATTTCGGCACCTTCCAGCCGTGTCTGCCTATCTGCACTGGAAGTGTCTGCTCCTCTTTCATTTCCAGCCAAATCAATCAGAGAAAATTTACCATGCAATTTCCCTTTCCTTCGCAGAATAATCTGAAACACTGCATGGCTTCGAGATGAGTGCGCATTTGCAGAAGTCTGACCAGATGTCCTTCAAAGGAAAGGAAAGGAGGGAAGGACATATGACTACTGGCTGGAACACATGAAGGACTACACATGTTAAATATACTAAATATACATATTATAATATAAATATAATACTAAATATACTTGGAATGTTACTTGTTCCAAGGCAAAGTTCTCTGTCTTCCTATACATGTTGACAGTGTCTAACATACCTCTGAACACTACAGATACAACCCTAGTAATATGAACATACTATAGTTATACCTATTTTTCCATCTCTTCAAACAGAAATGGAAGATTAATAGTGTTCTACCTTTCTCTTAAAAGACAAATAATATCTTCAAATTAATCAGATCTTCAAATATCTCAGGCTATCAGATAGCTTACATGTAAATTGCCAATTGTGCTTTTTATCTGAAAAAGCAGCAGTCTATGAAAGACTGATTTTATAAATGATGAAGCTGGATTTTAACCAGTAAAAGTAAAAATATTAACCTCTGTCACTACATATCAAGGCATGCCTTAGTTCTAAAGAACTAAGAATCGGGCAGAATTCCAGATTATTAATGATGTGAAGTTAGGTCAGTGAGCTGGTTACATAAATGCATACAGTTTATACCCTGTAGAAAAATCAGTTCTTATTTCTCTCTATGAGGCAAAGCAACTCTGAACTACCTTAATTCAAAAGGCAGGCAAACTCAAAAAAAAAAAAGTTGATGTTCTGATTCTTTTATTTACAATGAAAAACTGGCGGAAGCCATGGGAAATACCTGCAGCTGTTGCCTATTTCAATAAGTTTCAAAACATCTTCAACACATTTGACTTCCCGTTCCTGTAATCCCACCACTTGAACTTGCTGTTTACCGTCTTCTAACACTCTCAATTTTGTCTTCCTGTTCAACAAGTCAAAAACCTTAGGAAAGAGGAGGGAAAAGAAACCAAACAGTTAAAACAAAGGAGCTTTAACTCCTTTTATTTCAAATCCCATATCAAAATATTGCAAAGCATTCCATGCAAAGACATGATTGGAAAGCACAAAAAGTTTTTATACGACATGCTCACAATCCTTTGAAACAAAGAAATTCCTCCTTCCTCAGGAAAAGGCCAAGTACTTACCTTACCACTGTAGATCTCAAAAAATGTTGCATATACTTGAAGTTCTAGCTTCTTATAATTTGGCTTCTTTAGCATTAAAAACACATCTCGAGCTGTGAATACATTTTTAAAAAATCTTAGTTATGTATTTTCACTTAGTAAAGGTTAATTCCTACATAATACCCTATTTTACAATATCTCTCATATTTTGCAGTAAAACTTGTAGGGTCAAGTCAACCAAATCTAAAACACTGCAGATAAAACTAAACACATTCCAAGATAAAGATCCTGAAATTGGTAACTCTCTTATTGATCAGTTACATTTCTTATATATTTCAAGTAATCTACATATATCAAAACAAAGACTTTGCATTTAAGAATTACTTTTGATGATTACCAAAGCACCTGTAATGCAAAATATAAAGGCCTTTTATTTGTACAACAGCAAGTAGAAAATTTATTGACTTCAACTAATTTGCCAAAAGACCAATAAAGTCACTCACCTGCAAGTGCATATATTCCTTTAGAACAATCTTGGTTCTTTCCTGAAAAGTCACCACCCATAGTCTAAAAATATAGAAAAAATACTTATACACAAGTATCACAGAATTGTAGCTTACACATTTGTGACTTATTAGAAGTCATTTAGTTAAGTGTATATTATTCATTCAAAGAAATATGTTGATGTGTAGAAGAAATACTTACATGGGTCTTTCCGCTGCCTGTTTGCCCATATGCAAAACATGTGGCCATTCCCCTTTCAAATATCGTCTCTACTAATGGTCGCGCTGTAAATCTTAAATGCAAAAGGAAAAAAAAAAAAAAAAAACCCATAGTATGTAAGAAGCTTTAAGATGCCACTACCACAAGGCCCCTATACATTTTACTGTCACACAGAACATCTCCAAACTAATCCTGAACTAGAAGCTACCAGTTTGAAGCCATTAGAATATCCTAAATGATTAAGCAAAAGCTACAAGCTCTCTCCCATTGATTTTGGAAAAAAAAAAATATATCTCTTAAGCCCAAAGAAAAAAAAACCTTGTTTTAATGATGCAACATAGCACTACTTACTACATGGAGTTTGCAGCTCCCTAAACATAGCATTAGAAAATATGGAAGTAGGACAGATAAATACTTAAGATTTGCCAATACAGAAATTCTGCTTTTCAACTCAGCTTCCAAGATTTACTTGAGGTGACAGCTGGCCAAAACCGCATTACACTTCTAAATACTCTAAGAACATACATACACTGAAGAAAGGTTCCAAGAAAACATACATCCTAGCTCATAAGAAAGTAAAAATACAGGGACTCCTACAGAATTATTTGGCATGTTAGAGAATCACAGAGTATCACTTTTCTATTTTAGAGAATTAATTTCTGCTTAAAAAATGCACTCCTATTACTCCTACTCCAGCTGCTTATCACCATTACTTTATTAACATCTCCAAAAGCAAAGGCTAACTCTAACAGAGGAAGCGTCAATAAATCTTCTTTTTAAACTTCTTCCCAATATTTACATGCTATATATGTTTTGCGACAGAAACAACAATGATTATTTAGAAAAGAACTGAGGTGTTACAACCTCGTCTCATTCTATTTAAGAATAAACACAAGATCACTTACAGATATAATATGGAGAACACTGGCCTAGAAAGCTACTAAGGCTTATGAAAAATTAGAGTTTAACCAAATCATTGGTTTTAATTAAAAAGTATCATAGGATTCCTGATGAGCCACAGTTTTTCCCTTTTTTTCCTCTCCAAATATTTATTTCCTTTATTCTCAATAGGATATTTCCCCATAAATAGGTATTGGTTCTTTTGATATTTAATTAATTTTGATATTTATTAAAAAAATTTAAAGCAATCTATTCACAAAGAAAAGCACACTACATGAAATCCATTTGAACCCAATTAAACATAGATATTTTGGCAATTTATAAATACATGGACTTAACTATACCTACTTTAAAATAAGGCAAAATACAAATAGACCTATAAAAAGGTTTGTTAGGGCACTATACAACTCCAAAGGGTACCAAATCAAAACATTCCAACTTTCCTTCCATCAATAATCTTTATTTATAATATTGATCTTTCAGAAATACAAACTGCAGTTTTTAAATCAAAAGACATATCAGTTCAAACTCATGTGTACACTCATGTTTAGTACTAAGGAAAATTTGCAACTCAATGTTGTGATTCCTGGATTCAGACATACTTACAACGCAGCTTAAGTAACAAAAAAAGAAAGAAAAAAGAAAAAGGGCAGAACACTTCTCACTGTCATACTGAAGGAACATGCTGAAGAAAATGGAAATAACTTATCACCCACTGTAACCCTGGAATTCTGGTGAGAGTGTACTATGATTCCTATTTTGCTCTTAATCCTTGTAGTACAGAAGTTCTTGAAATGGATTATCCTTCAAATAATAATCATCTCTGTGTCCTAATATGTCAGAAGAAAGAAGCCTGTACTACTACACAGACTTGACATTTACTCCTTCGGTATGGATACAAGTGCCTTTTAGTATTTTCTTGTATCATCATGAACTATGCAATCAATAAAAACCATCCAGAGGAAACTCAGCACAAAAATACTATAAACTTGTAAGCAAAAAAACAAAAACAAAACAAACAAACAAAAAAAAACCACTGTGCTTGCAACTATAAATGAGAAACAATAGGAAGGATGGAGATTAAAAGGATTGGTTATTAAGCAGTTAAAATGCCGAAAGGCACATCACCAGCCAGATGGGTCTCCCCACAGATTTTCTGTACTGGGAAAGAAAGGATACTAGAGATAGAAAAATTGCAGAGAGCAATCTCCAAGGGCATAGTTCTGCTGAAGTTTACTTCAGAAGACTCTTTAACAGACTAAACAGGCTTTCTTTTTGCTATCTTTCCCCTCTCAAGCATTAAACATCAATTTTCAATGACTTTTTATAATTCTTTTGTTACATATTTTCTCTTATGGGCAGACAGAACATTAGCCTCCAACATCCATCAGGAGACAACATTGACTTTCTCTTTCTAGATATTGGATTAAAACAAAAAATAAGATTTTTCTCTTCCATTCCTCTCTAAGGCTATGGAAAGCACTTCTCAAACATAATGAAGCTCATCTCGCATCAAATTCCTTCCTCAATCAACATTCCTTACAAAATGTTTCACAGCATTTAGGCTGTGTACAAAGATTTTAATTCTTTCTATACTTGCCTGCTACTATTATCTACTTACCGACTTGGAACACACAAATAAAGAGTTTGTTCTAAACAAATTAATTCAATACTTGGTGGACTATTTTCAAAGCACTATGTGCATTAGTCTGTGCCAACCTGGAGAGTAAAACAGAGGAATAAAGGAAAAAAATAGAGATCCAAATACCTTTGGGGTGTCTTTTTAAAAAAAAAAAAATCACAAAAATACAGCTTTTTGAGTAAGATAATTTATCTCCCCTGTACATTTGTGTTCCATCACCTAGATTGCTTCCAAAAGCCAAACTTGCTCGAATATCTCAGAAATACACTTTCTCCCTACCCTCTACTAATTTGTTTCCATCGGTTCTCTTTATCTTATATTCAAACTGCAAGCTCTGTGAAATTGGAACTGTCCTTTTGTTCTGAGTTTCTAGAAGACCCAAAATAGTAATTTTTGCAGTTGCTACATGGATACAATATTGTGTTGCATGGATACAATAACTGAATAACTAAGTAAAAGACAGCCAATGAAGCTTCTCAAAAATTCAGTAGCTGAGAAGGCAAACATTATACACTATAGTCTGGAAAGGTAGAACTATATCTACGATACGTTCAATATCAGTGGAGATGAGGATGCAGATGGAAAATTCAGTATAAATGGAGTTAAACCAAAAATACACAGACGGAAGTATGGAGGTAGCAATGCATATATCTCATGACACAGAGAAAAAGAGTGAAGTCCATGACCAAGATGAGCCCAGTTATTGACAGGGGAGATAAATGAAAAAAAAAGGTTCACAAAAAAAATAATTTTCACAGAAAAAAGCATATACACATACCTGTAAACCATTTCATTAGGAGCCGTGTCATCAAAGGCATAATCAAAACGAAAAGTTTGGTTTTCTAGGTACCTTGTTAAATCCACCTTTTGTTTTGGTTCATGTACCATCACAACATCTTTACTAGGAATTGTTATTACATCAAGGTCTTTCATTAAAGTTTCTATAAAATAAGTGAAATATATATATATATATATATAACTAGCAACATTTTTACATATTTCATTGTTTACATCCTTATAACATCTAAGATAACACAGCTCCTCCAAATAACAACATTGCAATGGACCTGAGCTTCTGATACCTAGATAGCAATCTGCTAAATATGAGGTTGTATTAGAAGCATTCCAAAGTTGATTAGAAAAACCTAGATCACTAATTACAGTACTATCATTGTAGACTGGTACATACTCTATAATAGCATACAATGAATTCTACAATGGATTTGAGTCTTTTCCCTGTGGTTCATGTACTGTTCTATTGATTACTACCATACGCTTTGAGTTTTTAGGAAAAAAATGCTCTTCTGGAGACACTGAACTCTACAGACTAATGCTGCTTGTACTGTCAAACTTAAAAATAAAAAAAGGAGGATGTTAATTTCTTTGTGTTTTTATTTTATACATTTTTAAGCTTTTTTTTTTAATCCTTAAAGTCTAATATTCAAAGCTTTCTAAAAGAAATATCTTGTCTGTGTCCTAAAAGAGATTTTCCTTTGTAGATTACTACCTAACCTAAAATTTTAAGTCTTTACTAGAGAAATATTTCAGATCAAAATACTTTATAAAAATTGCCTCGTAAGCAGAAAAAGATGAAGAAAAAAAAAAAAAAAAAACTAATGATGCTTCCCATCACTGGGAATGAACAAAAGCCATCTAGATGTGATTTCAATACTGAGTTCCCAGGTTATATTTACTACACAGCCCTACAATTTACGGCTAATTGCATGAGATACAAGTCATCAAAACACAGAGAATTCACTGATCCATGATATGCACAAAAATAAAGATCCTTTGTACATATAGTCCAGATCACTAATGTGCCTGACTTGTGTTTCTATGTAAAATTTCTTAAGGCATACAATTCAACAATTTGATGTGACTTTATAAAATCAGATAGAAATTATATGTAAGCATACTGACCAAACAGTACCATGGTTACCATTGCATGGCATTACACACAAGCAGGAGTATGCATTCATGCCTCTATATAATCACATTTCAACTGTACTGTAATAAAATAAAATGTAATTATTCTGCAGTAATCGTAGAGGAGAAACAAAGAACTGCTGAAAACAGATATATGAAGCTCAATTCTCTGCAGCAAAAGATTTTAGTTAAAGCAGTCAACATTTTTTTTCCTTAAATGATTGTTTGCAATAAGATATTTACCTCCTTCCAGCAATTTGTTGTGACAACATGTTCCTTGCTGATGAAAATTTAGAATAATGTCTCTGAAAACCCCTGTACACTTCTCAATCAACAATTAGTGCTGACAATACCTAAAGACTTTGGTGAGGATTCTGTGTTTGTAAAACTGACAAAAAATGATTTTTTTTACACCTGATTTCCTTCAGATTATTTGAACACCGTACATTACTTCAAAATACAGAACATGAAAAGTGTCTATAAGCACCTCAAGGGAGGCAGTGAGGAGGATGGTGCTGGCCTCTTTTCACTGGTGGCCACCGACAGAACTAGAGGTAATGGCCACAAACTGAAGCACCAAAAGTTCCACAGGAAGTTAAGGAAAAATTTCTTAACAGCGAGGGTGGCAGAGCACTGGAACAGGCTGCCCAGAGAGGTTGTGGAGTCTCCTTCTCTGAAGATCTTCAAAGCCTGCTTGGACGCAGTCCTGTGCCACGTGCTCTAGGTGACCCTGCGTGTGCAGGGGGGTTGGACTAGATGACCTCTAGAGGTCCCTTCCAACCTTAAGCATTCTATGATTCTATGTTTTTGACATGTTATTACTGTAATTACTGTAATAATAAAGGAAACAACATATTTGTATTCTTCCTCTTCAAGTGATTAAGCACTGATATCTTTGATTCTTTTTTTAATTCTTCAATTTTAACATGTAGAATGAGAAATACAGTTTCTTGTGAACTTTCAGAATTTAAGTGCATGTTCATTAATTCCTCTGCATTATAATTTATTCTTAAAAATGCAAAGTTACCTTAGTGCCAACCTCATTTTTTTACTTAGACACTCATCTTCCTACAAACTGTTTAGAACTGTTTTCATAATAGGCTCCAAATCATCAATACCTATCAATCAATTTCCCATTTATCTTTTCCTTTCCCCTCAGATATGCTTGCTAAAGTATTCCTCAATATCTACTTCTGACAGTATAAGAATAATAAATGCCTCCTATGTTTTTTCAGGAATCACAGTAATCCTGAATCCTTTAGCTAGCAAAAAGAGAGGGAAAGAAATGTCTTTTAAAGAGAAAATCACCTTACTTTACTGAATTCAGACAGGTTCTAGTTCAGAAGAAAGTGCAATTAATAATTTCCAAGTGAAAGTAAAGAATTTCATGGGAAAACTTTACGGGATTTAATAAGAGTTGAACACCTAAATGCTTTTCTGGAATGAAAACTCCAGTCTGGTGAACAGACAGTAAGAAAATCTTAACAATACTCCTATATATCAAAACAAGCTAGTAGAGTCTGATTCCAGTATCTAAACATGGGTGTTTAGTGCCATTTTATATGCCCTAGGGTAACTTGTCCAGCCCTAAGATGCAGCTTCAGGAGATACAAGTCTCCAATTTGTCTGTAATCCACTATCCCTGGGAGGATGTCTTGGATACCCTTGGGTGCTATCATGTCATAAGATACCTCTATTTAGGAACCCTAATCATACCTGAAATGTTTGATTCAAGGCCACTTGGAACTATAGAGATACGTGTAAAAACGTGTGGAAAAAAAACATTGGGTAGCTCACTGATCAGAAGATCATTTAAACAGTGGTTAAGATGCACTTAAAAAGAATGCTGTTCCTAAAGTAGTATAAAACTGGTCAGGAGATTCCAGTTAAATTAATTTCCAGATCAACTAAATACCTCTTAGATGACCTTGGAAAAAAAATTATACTGCTCTCTGTGCCTTAGCTCCCCATCTATAATCTATAACAGTGAAAACTTTTTACCCAGTCTCTATCTAGGTTATCTATAAATCTATGAATTTTCTCATTCTGTAATGCATATTATCTAACATTTCAGCATGTGCAGTGTTTCTACATCTCTTAATATAAATATTATCATCAGAAGCAGCTTTTCAGAGAAAAAGCCCTGCAAAAAAAAATATGGTCATACCTTTTTTATTGAGAGGTCGTTTTCGTACACAAACGCATATCCTGTGTTCATCAATCTACAAAGAAAAAAATCTTTCAGCGAATTACACCCTAATTCCAGTTACACGATATTTTATCTCTACTTTTTAAATGAATTAAATGATCAGGTAAAAAGAGACATTTACAAGACAATGAGTCACCTGATCTTGCAAAAGTATCTGCACAATAAACATGATCCAAAAAGGGAAAACCATAGATGAAGAGCAAAAACACTCCCTTGCACCTAGAGGCCTATTCTGTAGAGAATCCTATGGAATACTAGGTACATCTTGGAACATAACAAATAAATACAGTTGTATTAGTGTAGATAAACTGACAACGGAAATTCTTAGGATCATATTGATTTATATAGAGATAATCAATGTAATTTAAGAATTCTGCTCTTCCAGCTTCTCTGCAAATCAAAGACTGAATATCAATCTTTATACTCAACTATTTCTTTCATTAAAAATTATTAATTTCATATAATAAAACTTCAATGCCTACTAGTTTCAGTATCATTGAGTTACTGAAAAAATAAACCCACAATATAAAGAAAACTAAAATATATTAAACTGCTTACTGATGATTTTTATAGACACAAGTATATTCATATTTTTTTCATTTGTTAAAAGCTTATCAGAAATACAAAGGGATGGAAAAAAAAAATCACAGTTCCTGTGGTACTTACAGGATCTGCAGTTGTCAGTGGTCTATAATCCAAACTTCCCCTGAAATCTCTTATCATACACATAATTTCATAATTTGGGTTTGTAGCATCAACATCCTAGGAAAGTAAGCAACAGAAGTTCCAATATACTTTTTTTTTTCTGAAATTGATTTGTTTAAATATTTTCCAAATTAACTTATAAAAATACACATTAGCTGAAATTTTAATATTTCTGCACAATATTTCTGAACTACTGCACAATAACATACAGACTACACACTCAATTCTTCTTATTTCTTTTCTTAAGATGAGATATGGCAATTCAATGGACAAATGAATATATTCTATTAACAGAGATACTACAAAACACACGGCAGAATACAGTACAAATATCCCAGCCGCTCTAAATGCACTCCTGTTGGATCCAACCTGATTGTGAAATGATGTTGATCCTATTACTAGCTAACTCCTGAGTTAATTCCTACACTTACTCATGCATTGGAAAATATTTCCAACACTTGAAGTTCCAACAAAAATAAAGGCGACCCCCAGGATACACGATATAGGAGACTATGTCCAAGATTGCAAGTCTTCCCATCACTAGAACTGGAGCCATAAGTAATATAGTTAAAAGACAAATAAGAGGCCACACATGGAAATCCTGCAAATCACCCAAGAAATTAGCTAAAGCTGCTTCTGGACTGGTTGTAGAAACTAAAACGGCTTGTAGAAATGGTATAGGCACTTTCACACAACACTGAATAGGGGGGTTAATAAATTGAAATAGAGCTATCTTACATCTCTGCATCTGTGACATGGTTAATCCTCATCTTAGATAAATCTGTGCCTTGGTAATTAGAAGTTGACTGCACCTGTAAGCTTTTCACTCTGATTACAGTGAACTAAAAAGTACTTACCAAAATTAGTAGTACAAAATGCATTAATGCTGAAATGTTTCCCTCTACAATACAGAAATGGCTACTGCTTCTTATGGATACAGTACTTGCCTAATATTCTTCAAAATCTAGTTAAAGCTCTTCCCTGTTTGAGGACAGTGTTTTTGTTTTGCTGTGTTTCACAACAAAAACAGAACACTCAAAGCAAAAGAAAGAATAGCTAAACAACATCCTCAAGACAAATAAAACTTCCTCATACAGGAGCTAAAGACTCAAATGCAAAGAGAGTCTTCTTGGAAGTGAAAGAAAAAAAAAGAAAATTCTGTCATGTAATATATCAAAGAATTTAATATATAAAACGAAGATATTTGTTTCTTACAGACAAAGACACAGTAATGTTTTCTATTTCTTTAAATGGGTGAAAAATCAGAGAACACAAATTCCACACACATCATTTTAGGTCAGCTTAGTCGTGGTAATTCTTATGTCATTAGTGGATTAGTAGGACCTATTTAGGGAGGCTAGCACATATACAGAGGCCTGTCAACAAGATTATGCTACTAGCTTTGCTAAAGCTTTTACACTATTGTGACAGAAAGTCATTTAATATGAAGAGATTTTTCTAACAGGATTAGCAACTTCATTTCTTTCACCAAAGTTTCTAACAACACCTTGCCAAGTTGCCTGCATGATGCAAAGCTAAGACAGATTTTAAGGAAAAAATATCACTATTCAAACCTGAGTCTCAAATACTTCTACTAAGCTTCAAGGATCAGATAGAACAATTTATCACAATGTTGTAATACTTCACCTAGAATAACTACCTTATCTAAAAGCCAAAGGTTTAATTGTATTTTGTCAATGTATCTTCCCCCAGAAACAGTTATCACCTGTACTTGATTTTTAAATAACTACAAAAAGAGAGATAAGGTGTTACAGAAATTACAAGCAATGATTTCTGCAAGAAGAAAGAGGGGAAAATTATTTAAAATAAGTTACCAAAGCAATACAACCATGCACCAATAAATAAATAAATAAATAAATAAATAAATAAATCAAACTTGTATATAGGATGAAAACATTTCGAGACTGTAACAGTTCATAAAAGTTATTGAAGACTGCAAAAAGCACAAGAATTTTGCATACATCTTCTCTTGCTGAAGTACGTTTTCTGTCTCTGAGCTAAAAATACTAACCTGAGCTCTTTTTTCTCTAAGTTCTTGCTGATGTAGCCTTCGTTTTTCGCGTTTCTCTTGCAATTTTTCAACCTCTTTTACACAATTAGATTTTCTACGTGCTTAAAGAAAATGATGAATATTCAAAAATATTTTCAGTTTGTTGCATAAATTTATTATTTACAATAGAACAATCATATTAATTAATTTAGCAATAATTAGAATCCATGTATTTATATCAATTAACTTCTCAAGCAAATCTGTATTAATATAGAATTAGTACAGCAATTTAATTTCTAAAATTTATAAAATAACTGAATTAGAAAAAAAATCATGGGACAAGACAATAATTACACAAACAAAAATATAAGGAAGATGACCCTCAAAAATTATTTGGACAAATACATGTGATCTCTTGGTTTGAATTCAAAGAAAAAAAAATAAGCAAGTTAAAAAAGAACAGCCATGGTTTAAAAAAAAGACAAAGAAAAAATAAACTCCAAATGCTGGCATGACTAGGACAAAATTGAATGTTTGTTTAGCCACAGCACTCTGAAAAAGCTTCTTAAGGAAGCATACAGACAACTGCGTATATAGACTTTTTGTCATTTATGGACAACAACATAATCCAAGAGAATGTACATGTAATGCCCAGAACGAATGAATCCTTTAATACACGATTTACATACAAGGGGGTCCAAATTCCTTTTTTGCAGCTTGAACTGGAGATATATCTGAAACACTACCATTCTGTTGTGAGGAGGAAGACTGTTCAGGAAGCTGAGTAGGCCGTGCACGTGCAGAAGCAACCACTGCAAAAGAAAAACACAAAGCTGATATAGGTATGAAAAAACAACATTTTCTATCCATCTGCAAAATACTTTATTATGATAAAAACAAAGCGCCAGTCAAAAAAACAGCAATTTACTACATTAAAAAAGTGATACATTCAGAAAGTCTATTGATAAAGACATTCAGTATGTCGACTTTTTTTTTTCTTTTTTAATAGTGTTACATCCCAACACAATAGAATTATTAAATACCAATGCCACAAATGGATGTTGCAAATACAACTTATAATGTACACATAATGAAATATGTCCTTGGAGATCTGCAGTACCGCAGTCTGAAGTACTGAAATTTTATTTATGCTGTGATAATACCCAAAAACATAGTAAGAAACAAGGCCCTGCTATTTCACCTTCTCTAAGGATTACAAAATGGTTCCAATCCATTTAACCTATAGCTTCTGGAGGAGTGATATAAATGAAAAGCGATGAAGTGCAGCACATTCTACAAGTGAAAGAAACAAACCTTTCTGATACAGTATTACAGGGGATGTAGGCGATTGATATACCTAACTAAATCTATGCATTGATTTTATATGTAATAAAGATGGCAGTTTCTAAAGGTGCCGAGTGATGTCTGTTCTTCATGAATCCTGTGGGAGCTGTGAGCATGCAGATCTCATTGGCAGAGCTGAATGTTTTAAGCTGTTTTTCAGAGAGTTACTTCAAAACAACTTCATTTCAGCTGGCCATTTGCTTACACACAGTACTAAAGTGGTCTATCAGGAGGAGCATGAAGGTGAAGGCAGTAGCTCTGATTATTACTTTTGAGAGAACCCTTCCAAACAAGCCCAGCAGAGTATACAACATGCAGATAACTATGGAAACAAATAAAATCAGATAGACAAGACAAATGCCCAAATCAGTTCCAAATATTATGGGACATATAAATTATAGCATGAATTAAATACACTGAACAGAACAGTATGTTAAGAAAATTACAAGACCAACAAATTCTTAAGCAAAACATGAATTGTAAGATGCATAGTTTCCATCAAAATGCAAGTTACAGGGCTTATTCCATACCAAACAGATCGCTTAATACAAATGACAACTTGTATGGATATTTGATGCAATCAGGCAATGCCAAGAGCAGAAAAACTTTCAAAACAAAAGAAAGTTGACATTAAAAAATAAAATTATAAAAAGGCAGAAAGTGAGAAGGAAACCATATCAATAGAATGTCTCAAATTTAGATCGAAATAGTTTGAAAAAAAAAATATATATATATATATATATATTTCCTGATGAATTTCTAATTTGTTTACACCTCCAGAAGCAAATGACAGAAGGGTGAAAGTGATCTCAATGGTTCTCCAGAAGAGATAATGAAGACTTGCAACAAAAACAAAGCTAAGCAAGTCAACTTCTTTTTCAAGTTTAAACAGATGGAATGGAATCTTATAATAACTTGAATTCACACAGAATGGTTGCGATTGGAAGGAACCTCTAAAGATCATCTAGTCCAACCGCCCTGCTCCAGCAGGGAGGCCTAGAGCATGTGGCACAGGATCACATCCAGGCAGGTTTTCAATATCTCCAAAGAAGGAGAATCCACAACTTCTCTGGGCAGCCTGTTCCAGTGCTCTGTCAATTAAGTCATTAATTTAAAAAATAATGTTTGAAGATATCCCATCACCATCATGAACAGAAGTCAGTTAAGCTTAAGCACTCAAGAGAAAAATATCAGCAGTTACTAAGCAATTACTATTCCTTCTTATATTCTAAATACGTTACATCCATATTCAGCCAATACATAGTTCATTCGCCCACCCTCCTGTGATAGTTCAGCAGCTTTTTTGCTGTTGACTGTAGACTGAGAAATTACCTCTGGGGTTTAAGCAGTCTTTCAATGAACTCTTATACAGAGACTGCTAGAAAACTGAATGTGTAAGAACTTTTAAATGCATCACTTACTGTGTATTAAAGCACTGTGAAGGTGAAGCAAACTGAGCATGCTTCAATTTGGAAAAGTCAAACATGATTTAATGTAGCATAATTAATGAACTTCAAATTTTGCACCTTCATGTCATTCATCTTAACCTTCTTAATGTTATATTGCTTATATGGCATTTGCATATCAATACTGTTTGTACAGTATCCATTTCTAAAAATTCATAGGAATAATTCCAGGAATGATGTGCTATGTCCTTTACATCTCTTATAAGTAGATACTGAACTAGAAATGCAGAATTAGTATAGAACTTTATATCTGCATGTTTTCCCATACTTTGACATATTCCCATATTTTTAGCTGCATGAAATGGAAAGATACATTTACCTCTATTATCTCTTGCAGGAGTGTCATTCTTAACTGGTACCACAGTTCGTCGACTCTATAAGGAAAGAGATCTCTTATTTGATTATCTTATCATTGAAAATATAAAGTGCAGCCCCACCTTTTCTTATTTCCAATGAATAAAAATAATATGACACCAGCAATAAAGAAAGGTGATTGCTGCAAAATCTCTCCAAGAAAAGCATGGAATAAGGAGTGGTTGAACTATAGCTACTATTTCACAACAACCTCAAAAACCTTTTCAATATATTTTCTTTATATAAATAGTGATATAAACATTAATCCTCAATTCCCTCTTTCTCAGACAAGTTCTTAAAAAATGTGTTTATC